AAGAATAAAACCCCATTGAAATTGATCAAGAAATAAGCAATTTATACGAAGTATCTTCTTTTGCACAATACTGTGCAATTGAATATTTCTTGCTATTGCGCAATACTGTACAATTGACAATTTCTTGCTATTGCCCAATATTGTGCTATTGGATATTTCTTGCTATTGCGCAATACTGTGCAATTGAAGATTTCTTGCTATTGCGCAATACTGTGCAATTGAAGATTTATTGTTATTGTGCAATACTGTGCAATTGAAAATTTCTTGCTATTGCACAATACTTATTATTTAATAATTTACACATCCTGTTTAGCGTGTATCTCTTACCATATCATTATTATTTGCTTTTAAATATAAATCAGAAATAACCAACTTAAAATGGAAAATTTTAAAAGAAAAAAAAAGGAAAAAAAGAAAAAAAAAGGAAAAAAAGAAAAAAAAAGAAAAAAAAAAATCCCCCCCCCAAATTTTTTGAACCCCCTTATGATTCATCACCCCCAAACTCAATCCCAGCCTTCCCATTGTGGTATGGTACCTAGAAAAATGCTTGTTTTTTGCCCCTTTTTGGCCCCTAATTCCTAAAATATTGAGGCAATTACCCCCATCATCAATCCCAGCCTTCCCTTTGTGGTATGGTACCTTGCAGTACAATTTCAGAGAGATCCATACACTTGAACACAAGTTATTGTCTGGAAACTAGAAAAATGCTTATTTTTGGCCCCTTTTTGGCCCCCAATTCCTAAACGTTTCGGCAATTACCCCCAAACTCAATTCCAGCTTTCCCTTTGTGATATGGAACCTTGTAGTACAATTTCAGAAATATCCAAACACTTACACACAAGTTATTGTCATGAAACTAGAAAAATGCTTGTTTTTTGCCCCTTTTTTGGCCCCTAATTCCTAAAATTTTGAGGCAATTACCCCCAAAATCAATTACAGCCTTCCCTTTGTGATATGGAACCTTGTGGTACAATGTCAGAGAGATCCATACACTTACACACAAGTTATTGTCTGGAAGTTACAAAAATGCTTATTTTTGGCCCCTTTTTGGCCCCTAATTCCTTAACTGTTGGTACCATAACCCCCAAAATCAATCCCAACCTTCCTTTCGTGGTATTGAACCTTATGGTGAAATTTCATGGAGATCCATTCACTTAAACTAAAGTTAGAGTGCGAAAACCAATGTGTCTTCGGACGACGCTGGACGACGACGACGACGACGACAACGACGCCAACGTCATACCAATATACGACCAAAAAATTTTTAATTTTTGCGGTCGTATAAAAACTTTAACCACAGAGTGAATATTTGTGGACGCCGCCGACGACGACGACGCCGAGGGAATGTAGGATCGCTATGTCTCGCTTTTTCGACAAAAGTCAAAGGCTCGACAATAAAATGGATATAATTCAGGTACTAGCATCATCATGTCATGGAAAAATACTGAAATCTTCACAATTTTAGCATTTGTGCTAAATTTAAGACGTTTTTTGTCTAAACTGGAAGTGGATTCAGTCTTGATATTTAAATATATGTTGTATTTATTGATAAAACATCACATATATAAATGTTGAGACTGAACACGAATGCGGCCACTTTTATTTTAGACAAAAACCATCTGAAAAGTGAAGTTTTATGGCATATTTGATAGATTTTCATATCTAAGCTTGGATTTGAGCATCTTTAATGACCAAATTAGTTACAACCCTTCACATAAACTAATTGTATCGTCTGAAGTAGACACTTAAGTGTATAAAAAAAGTCAAAAATCTTTCATCAGATGTACTTTGAAATTTAGGCCGAAATTAGCCCTTACCGACCTTCTCCTTTAATTTTTAACGAAGTATATATTTCTATAGCTTTTAAGCAAACTTTTGTAAAACCATGAAGTCAAATATCCACGAAAATTGGTATCCATAGTAAAACAAGAAATGATTGTAACAGGATGCTGTTACAGATCTCCCAAACGAAGCTCCCATAATTCGTAATTCCCAGGGTCGCCTGACATTGGGCAAAGTCCAGTGAAAACTGGTTTGGTCCAGTAAAGTTATATGCATAAGTGATGCCTAAGGACTAACCCTGTATATCATTCATATCATCTTGGCATGACAAACCAGAATATGTATGGTTTAGGGGTGGGGATCTCGACCATTTACAAGATATTAGAAATTTCTCAAATGGCAGGGGGTCGGGATGACCCCTGGGGACTAACCCTGTATATCATTCAAACCATCTTAGCATGACAAACCAGAATATATATGGTTTAGGGGTGGGGATCTTGACCACTTACAAGATATTAGAACTTTCTTTAATGGCATGGGGTGGGGTGACCCCTGGGGACTAACCCTGTATTTCATTTCATGTGCTTTATCATGACAAACCAGAATATATATGGTTTAGGGGTGGGGATCTCGACCATTTACAAGATATTAGAACTTTCTCAAATGGCAGGGGTCGGGATGACCCCTGGGGACTAACCCTGTATATCATTCAAACCATCTTAGCATGACAAACAAGAATATATATGGTTTAGGGGTGGGGATCTTGACCACTTACAAGATATTAGAACTTTCTTAAATGGCATGGGGTGGGGGTGATCCCTGGGGACTAACCCTGTATTTCATTTCATGTGCTTTATCATGACAAACCATAATATATATGGTTTAGGGGTGGGGATCTCAACCATTTACAAGATATTAGAACTTTCTCAAACGACAGGGGGTTGGGTTGACCCCCTGGGGTCAAACTCTGTATATCATTCAAACCATCTTAGCATGACAAACCAGAATATATATGGTTTAGGGGTGGGGATCTCGACCATTTACAAGATATTAGAACTTTCTCAAATGGCAGGGGGTCAGGATGACCCCTGGGAACTAACCCTGTATATCATTCAAACCATCTTAGCATGACAAACCATAATATATATGGTTTAGGGGTGGGGATCTTGACCTCGTACAAGGTATTAGAACTTTCTTAAATGGCAGGGGGTGGGGATGACCCCTGGGGACTAACCCTGTATTTCATTTAATGGGTTTTGTCATTTAGAACATTTTCAATTAAAAAGATTGTGTCTATCACAAACGGTTTTCAATTTATAATCATTTGAAAATTTTAAAAAATAAAATCCCATAGGGTTCTATAGTAAAACCCTCTTTTCTTTTTGCCCCTCAAAGTATCCCTTTATAAACCCCATTGCACAAACAAAACCCTGATTGCACCACTAGACATGTTAGTCTAACATATTGTGAAATCCTAAGTTAATCTGACAAGCGGTTTTGGAGAACGGGTGCGGACAAGTTCAAATTTAAAAGCGGCGGAAGAGGAAGAGGAAGAGGAAGAGGAAGAAGAATAATAATAACAAGAAATGATTGTAACAGGATGCTGTTACGAAGTCTCCCAAACGAAGCTCCCATAATTCGTAATTCCCAGGGTCTCCTGACATTGGGCAAAGTCCAGTGAAAATTGGTTTGGTCCAGTAAAGTTATATGCATTAGTGATGCCTGGGGACTAACCTTGTATATCATTCAAATCATCTTGGCATGACAAACCAGAATATATATGGTTTAGGGGTGGGGATCTCGACCATTTACAAGATACTAGAACATTGGGGGTGGGGGGAACCCCTGGGGACTGACCCTATACGTCATTCAAATGTTCGTTACATAACAAACCAGAATATATATGGTTTAGGGGTGGGGATCTCAACTATTTACAAGATATAAGAACATTGGGGGTGGGGGGAACACCTGGGGACTGACTGTATACGTCATTCAAATGTTCGGGATATGACAAATAGGAATATATATGGTTTAGGGGTTGGGATCTCGACCATTTACAAGATATTAGAACTTTCTCAAATGGCAGGGGGTCGGGATGACCCCTGGGGACTAACCCTGTATTTCATTTGATGTGCTTTATCATGACAAACCAGAATATATATGGTTTAGGGGTGGGGATCTCGACCATTTACAAGATATTAGAACTTTCTCAAATGGCAGGGGGTCGGGATGACCCCTGGGGACTAACCCTGTATATCATTCAAACCATCTTAGCATGACAAACCAGAATATATATGGTTTAGGGGTGGGGATCTTGACCACTTACAAGATATTAGAACTTTCTTAAATGGCAGGGGGTGGGGGTGACCCCTGGGGACTAACCCTGTATTTCATTTGATGTGCTTTATCATGACAAACCAGAATATATATGGTTTAGGGGTGGGGATCTCGACCATTTACAAGATATTAGAACTTTCTCAAATGGCAGGGGGTCGGGATGACCCCTGGGGACTAACCCTGAATATCATTCAAACCATCTTAGCAAGTCAAACCTGAATATATATGGTTTAGGGGTGGGGATCTTGACCACTTACAAGGTATTAGAACTTTCTTAAATGGCAGGGGGTGGGGGTGACCCCTGGGGACTAACCCTGTATATCATTCAAACCATCTTAGCATGACAAACCAGAATATATATGGTTTAGGGGTGGGGATCTTGACCACTTACAAAGTATTAGAACTTTCTTAAATGGGGGTGGGGGTGACCCCTGGGGACTAACCCTGTATTTTATTTAATGGGTTTTATCATTTAGAACATTTTCAATTAAAAAGATTGTGTCTATCACAAACGGTTTTCAATTTATAATCATTTGAAAATTTAAAAAAATAAAATCCCATAGGGTTCTATAGTAAAACCCTCTTTTCTTTTTGCCCCTCAAAGTATCCCTTTATAAACCCCATTGCACAAACTAAACCCTGATTGCACCACTAGACATGTTAGTCTAACATATGGTGAAACCCTAAGTTAATCTGACAAGCGGTTTTGGAGAACGGGAGCGGACAAGTTCAAATTTAAAAGCGGCGGAAGAGGAAGAGGAAGAGGAAGAAGAATAATAATAATAATAAGAACTGAGCAAAAACAATAAGTCTTCCCAAACTTCGTTTGGGAGACTTAATAATAAGAACTGAGCAAAAACAATAAGTCTTCCCAAACTTACTTATTTGCCAAAGTATCATATATTCCCACTCTTCCATCATCTGTTCCATAGGCTAACAGTCCCTCTTTCTTGGGATGCCAACATAGCTAAAATTAAAAAGCAGACGGTATCGTATTGATTTAAATTTTTCTGACAAGGATTGATTGATTGATTGTTGTTTGGCAAATATTTCATGCATATTCAGGAGCTTAAGGAGGTTCTGACAAAGATTTGAATCTTAACAGCGGAAACACTCCATCATCTTGTACATTTTCTTCAAACTGATCCAATTTAACTTTATCTTTATAATGCTATCCAAAAAATTGATAGCTGCAGATATCAATAAGGCCAATGACTTAATAATTCAATTTTCGCAAAACAAGAACCGAGAACAAATGAAACAGAGACATTAAGCAAATAATAAACAATGAGGCAGTGGTCAGGAAAGTTTCATTCACCTCAAAATATAAATTGCCATATGACCCTTTGCGTAAAGAATTATTTGTCGAATATTTACTGGTGGACATCAAGCAGCTCATCATTAATCACAAATGACTTTGTTTGACTTGATAGTTTCTATCTAGGTTATACATAACAGATATTGATAGAATAAGGCCATCATATCGTAATCACTAAACTTACTGCTGTGACCTTTGACCTAATCCCCTGCCACAACGTGACAACATCAAAAGGATTATTACTGTTGTTAAGGTTCCATACTCTAATCATATTGTCCCCAACTCCTAAAGCTATTCTTCCTGCAAAATAAAAGAGGCTAGATATATGGACAAGGTAAATTCAATATAGCACCCACTTTTAGAGAGGGTTTATAATAAAGTGGGTCAGTAAAAAGATGTTTCTCAAAATTTGTGATTTATTAAGAAAAATGTATTTTTCTTTATCATAATGCAATATAATCCTATCAGGCAATTTTTGATTGGAAAGTCTGCTGTCAATTTTGAGGCTGATGGTTTAAAGTTATTGGCAACAATGGTAATCCATATTTCTAGAAAATCATCAAAGTCATTTATTTGAACTTTTAACTCCTATTGCATTAGAATCAGAATAGCAGTGTTTTGTTTAAATAGAAACTGCTGTCCAATATATGTTCTCACCACTTTGCTCCGCAAGGCCATCAAAACTTCACTTGCAACCATCAAATTCCCAATTGACGGTTGCACCTCTTCAACTAAATACTTTTATTACAAACTACTGTGGATTCATTATTATTAGTTGGGTACCAATTTTCGTTTATTTCATGGGTACAGGGGAACCACAAATTTTCTGTATGAATGTATGCAGACTTTGGCAAAACCACAAAATCAAATATCCATGAAAATGCAAGTTTTCCTCAATCCACGAAAATTGATACCCACGAAAATAAATGAATCCACAGTATGTTGAACCAACACATGGTAAATCTTCAATACGATAGAATCCCTAAAGTGGATACCTCGGGAATGCAAGGTTGTTACGATAAAAAATACAAAATGTGAAAGCAGTTATAACAACAACACTTGAATGATTGCTGTAGTTATTTAATGAGATCGACATGTTTCCCTTGTGCAAGATGACAAACACATATTCATTCTTTTTTATTAGCAAGTAACAGACTTTGGCAGAACAATATCAACAAACATTTTAAATTCAATGACACTCACATTCTATTCAACAAAACATTCTTGTTTTCAAATTTATGTCCATACATGTATACATTCACTTTCTATTTATGTCACAATGTTGACTGCTGTACCCCTATTTTTGACATTTTTACCTATTATGTCTGTTTGTTTTGTTCACACATTGTTATCAATATAATGGAATTTTAAGCGACTGTCATACAATTTTCTACATAAGGAAATGCCTGTACCAAGTCAGGAATATTACAATTGTTTTCCATTCGTTTGATGTGTTTGAGCTTTTGATTTTGCCATTTGATAAGGGACTTTCCGATTTGAATTTTCCTTGGACTTCAGTGTTTTTGTTATTTTACTTTTTTTCTTTTCATACTCAGAACGGTGACATTGTGACGTAATTTATACCTTCCCAATTTTGTACTTCAGCACGATTTTCTGTATTGTTTTGATCCTGATGACAGTGCACTAGGCACTGAAACGTGTCGATCTCATTAATTTACTACAGAAATCCTTCAAGTGTTCCTGTTATAACTGCTTTCACATTAAATTCTTTTATGTATTATAATCGGTCTATATCAAACACCTGTGTAATCTCTACAAAATCTTCAATCCCAAATTTGTTTGGTTCAGACAGATTTCACACTAATCCACTTACCTGGATCTATGGGAGAAGTCCTGGCACAATAAACATATCCTCCTAGGGTAGGCTGACAGTGAACTGGTCTGCGCTTTTTCACATCCCAAATTATCAACTTAGGAAATAACACAATGCAAGAATAATGAGCACAAAGTATGTAATTCCCAATGTCAACAAAAACAGTTATCATAGTATTTCATTGCAATGTAATAAATCTTATTTAACCATCTGTAAATCCAGATGGTTGTGAAAAACTATGAATGCAAAGTTACACAATTTTTAAAAAATAAAAAATTAAAGAAAATTCTTATGATACAATTATTTATGGGTTACATATTTTCATGATATGCAACCAGTTATTAACTTTGGAGATACAATTTTTTTTCCATAAAGTGTTTATTAAATTCTATGGCAATACTTTGAACTTTGTAAAATAAAATTAGCATATGAAAAAAAAATCCATGAAAGTATAAGCTCAATAAGGATATCTTTTGTTTAAAATGCTAAAACCAATCAAATTTCTTGAAAATATTACCCAGAATTTTTTTTCATTTGAAAACAAAAGTGTTACGGCCAATATTTACCTGTCTGTCCATAGAAGTTGTTGCCATAAAATTGTTGTCTGTGAATCCTAACCTCAAGTTAAATATTATTCTGTTATGTTGTTGCCGTTTGTCTGTTGCAGAAAATGGCTGCCATTTCTGTTGTCCTGTAGCTGCTAAATCCCATATCAACAAGTCACCACTACAATGACAAATGGCTCACAATATTACAGTTTAAATAAAAAAAGACTATTTGCTATATATAGAAAAAAAGCAGACATAAATATGTAATTTTTTTCTCCTTCAAAAGTTTCAAGGTGATTGACAGATGGTTATTGTAAGATCCAATCAAAATCATCGAAGTTTGAGGTGCCTCCTTTCTAATTTACCTTCAATTTGTGTGTTGGTTTAATTCTCTTACATCTAGACAATTAATCACAGGAATTAATTTTCTTCATTCATGGGGGCCTCGGTGGCCAAGTGGTCTAAGTAGTTACTACTGTAATCACTAGCCAGCCAACGCTGACGTTGTGAGTTCGAACCCCGCTCGTGCGAGTGCACTCGACTCCAATCTTAATTGACTAGGATAGTCAGTTTTCCTATCGAAGGTCGTGGTTTTCTCCGGCTTCCTCCACCAATAAAAACTGGCCGCCATGCAATAGCCCAAAAGCGGTGCTTAAAAGTGGCGTTAAAACATAAAAAATCAAAATCAAATCTTCATTCATGTATTTGAATGGTAGAGTGCATTTATCTGATAGTTCATGTATTTCCAGTGACTTATAGTTTAGGAGGGTTGCACCAGATTCATGGACAGGAGGGTGGACTGAGCGTTTCCTACAAAGTTCCTAACTTTGTCTGCCGGGGATACATCTAAGCTATATTTTTATACTAGGAGATAACAGTATTGCATTTGAATATTTTGCTGTTTACAATTAACAATTTGCACAGCAAGAAATAGGATATTTGTTAACATCAAATCAAACATTGATGCCTGAAAATTCAATAATGTTAAATCAATTCTAATAAAACAGAAATTAAAAACTGTAATTCATATTTTTTAAATAATAATTTTTCATACATGAAATCTATGCTTGCACGCATAATTTCAGAGCATCAATCATTGAATTGATGTCTTGAAATTTGTTGCATTATCCAATCAAAATGAACTTTCAAACAATGTTGCATAACATTGAGTTTTAGTGTTAATATTCCTTATAAGCTAAAGTTAATTAGTCATCTGTGTAGTGTTGTTGATATATATCTCTTCAATATCGACTACGGTTTCATTTATCTCTTAAATAAGACGGCAAACCTACCCAAAGGAACTAGAGACAATATTATGTGGATCAGAGTATGACCAAACAATGGCCGCCCAAAGTTTGCCTCTTCCTGTATCACCTGGTGGGCCTCCAGTTTTGGGTAACCTCATTGAAGCAAGTTGTCTCCCTTTTACTGTACTCCATATTCGAATAGTTCTGTCTTTACTTGCCGAGGCCAACAGGTGTCCTTCTTCCCCAAAGTCTTTGCTAATTTCTGTTTCATTCACATTGGTTTCTACAAAGAAAATATATCATACAGGCTATTCCATTAAGATGAGGTAGGGGTGGTTACGAAGGGAAGTCAGGAGCCTATACTTCAGTGGTTGTCTTTGGTTCATGTCTGTCATATTTGTTTTTTCAGAAAATTGTTTTGTTAAAAATTAAGTCGCTAGTTTTCTCAACTGATTTGTTTCACATTTTTCACGTGTGGGCTTTTATAGGCGACTATACAGTATGAATTTTTCTCATTGCTAAAGGTTGTACATTTGCCTATAATTGCTTACATCAACTTCATTTAATTTTTGGTGGACAGTTGTCTCATTGGCAATCATACCACATCTCCTTATTTTTATATTAATTGTTTATACAGTACGCACAGAGAGTTTGTAATAGCGAACTCTAATCACGGATTTCGGAGTGTAGCAGTGTCACACCACGAATCACGGATTATACTCCCAATTTCCTCCAAAGATTCTCTCCCAACACCGCGTGGTTGTTAATTGGTTTATTGCCCATAGGATGTACTGAAAATTAATGACGCGTGACAACATAATCGGATTAGCCAGATTTATTACCTTTGTACATTTAATCGATCTTGATTGCACCTGTGTGCTTTAAAACACGGTATTAAAATTTCCTTTCTTTGACAGATAAAAATGTGACATTTTCATTCAAAATAAGATAATTATTCTTGTATGTATTTGCCCCATGTCATTGTCATTTGAAATAAAACGTACAAACGTATAAAAATACGAATAAAACACTTATTTTGTATTTCTATTATAGTCCGGTCAGGTCATAATTTTTGTTTTTTCAACAAAGACGATTTTACTACAATTAGAATCTTTTATGACCTACTCAGTGAGCAATATCCGGTTCATTAATTGTTCAATATATAAATATCAACTGGCTTAAAACAAAATGATGTTTTAACAGTAATTTGTCCAATCTAACTAAACCCAAGAGTTAATTTATCGATCAACAAGTGAACTCTTTTACTTTCAATTTATTTTGCAATGTAAAATATTATGTTTCACTACCTCGGTAGATTACCGACTTGAAATATTTGAACTCAGAAAAGAAACTGTAAAGTGACAACTCTGTTGAACGAAGGGAAAACGTTTTGTATGCAATGTGCCCTATATTCATAAAAACACAACACTGAGAGACATTCCCCGCCCAGACACAACACAATAATCACAACCTAATTTAATTATATGAAGAAAAAAATCATGTGTTGTTTATCTCTGTTATGATCTGTTATTGATCCTTTATTATTTAAAATAAAATTGGATGGGCGCAATCCGTATTTTACTGCTCGTTAAAAGTCCTTAGCGAAATAAAAAAAAAGAAGTATTTCAACAATTAATACTATAGAATATTTAAATGAAATTATATCGTGTTGTTCAAGAAAGAAATATGTGAAAAAAATGTGGATCGGATTTTTACGATCTACACATTTTCACAGAGGATCTCTACCAACGCCCAACAGGAACTGAACGACATGCATCCTGTTTTCATCTACCATTTATGTATATTGTTGACCATGGACGAATAAATAATGTCCAGGTTTATGTCCTGTGTTGACTGAGAAACGTAAAATTAAAAGGCTGGTGTTCGTTTATTCAGAAAAGGATTATATTTTAGATTCCGGTTAATCAATTGTAAAAGGACCTTCTAGAGCCTCAATCTTAATGCATACAATTGTCAATCATTCCAAAGCAAATTTAAACCCCGAATGAATTTTCCCACGGTCATCCAGAAAGGTCACCTGAGTTTACTGTTACGTGATAATATTTCCCGCCAAATAAAAATCTCGTGGACAAAATTGATGTCACTATTTTTAGCATTCAATATTGTGAGCGAAGTCAAGTTCAAAGTTCAAGCACGGACTGTTGATCACTGAGATGTGTATCGTCTTCCCACGGCAATTAATTTCTTTTAAAAAATTTAAAATTCACTGTCCTTTATACAACACACAAGTTTACATTCATTGTGCGTAAATGAATATTATGCAACGACGAGTTGATGCAGCTATAGAAGTATTCCTGTTGTAGCCGAAATGTAATTATTTATCCTAAATTAATGCCGTAGACTTATTAAGCATAACGAATGGTGAATAGTATTTTCTTTTTTACTTGCATATACAAATTTTGAGACACGTAATTTTCTTTAAACTGCTCACTTTTATATTCAGCGTTAGTTTCCGTTTATTTTTACGCAAGTATGTCTCTTTTCGTAAATAAAATAATTTACCGATGAACTTAAACAAGGTCAAAATCAAGTATAGTTTTTGTTATAAAACTTTAATGCAATTGAAAGAATTAACAACAACATTCTGCTTTTAAATCTTTAATTTGTTTCAAGCAATTATGTAATCGTAAAATGAAAATGGCGTGGACTTATTAGCATAACGAATAGTGAATAATCTTTTCTTTTTTACTTGTATACAAAACTTTGAGACATGTAATTTTCCTTTAAACTGCCCACATTTATTCATCTTAAGTCTCCGTTTATTTTTACACAAGTATATCTCTTTTGTAAATTAAATATTAATTTACTGACCAGAAAAAAAACGAGGTAAAAATCAAATATAGTTTTTTTTTTAATAAAACTATTTTTAAATGTACAGTGTAATTGAAAGAATTAACAACAACTTTTTTACTTTTAAATCTTTTATTTGTTTCAAGCAATCAGAAATATAACCTGATTATCAATAGACAGGAAATACAATTGTTTAATTACATAAGTAATCTCACATACCTTGACTATCGCGTGCCGGTATAGATCAGAAGGATTAGGGCAATTAATTACCTGGTGTGACACCGCGTCACACCGGACAGGGAGAGATGTCGCTAATACAATAAACAAAAGGTAGCGAATTTACGCGGAAGTCGGAGGGAATACTCCCAAATTTCTCCGAGAATTTAGGGAGGGATGTCGGAGTTTCCTGGTGTTCGGAGTTTGGGAAGCCTTTCGCGAAATTTGTACTGTAGTTAGTTGTCATAGGAAGGGTGTTACAAAAATTAAAAAACTTGTTTCCTATACCGGAAAAGTATTGATGAAAAACAAGTTTACTCATTTCCAGCACATTAAGGGTTAATCTTTAGATTTCTGTAATTGTTTCGTGTTCTGTGTTTAGTTTTTCTTATATTTTTTGCTTTTAGGCATGGAGTTATCTATCCTTCTTTGACTTATGATTTGTTTATTCCCCCCTAAGTATCTATATACATTTTTTATCATGTTTATCATGGTTATCATGTCTACTGTGTATATCATGTTTATAAAGGTTATTATGTTTATCACGTTTATCATATTTGGACAACATTTCAAAAAAATAGAAGTCAATCCATATTTCATTTATGCGATTATTACCATTCTCCTCCTCAGGTCTGTCCAAGTCTTTGTATATTTTCTGTGGTTTAAAATTCTCCCCTGATATAGGACACCATGCAATAGAATGGACCTCATCATCATGCCCTCTCAAACGATGAATTAAACTTCCATCTCTAATATCATACAAGATCACTACACCAGACTTGTACCTTTAAAAGAAAGGCAACCCTATCTAGAATATGACCAATAATTTCTTTTAAACATTAGGCAATTCTTTATAAACAATATCTGCATATACATTTGTACTATATATGTCTACTATTGTAATATGCTCTTTGTGAGCCCATTTTACATGTTTAATAAATACATTGTAAAGTCATATGATTTACAACCAGACACCATAGTTTGTTAAATTGCAATTGGTTGTTAATCTTGTTTATCATAGACTGCTTTGAGAAATGCTGTCTGGTTCTATCTTTGCTTTACAGGTTAATTTCTTCCAGATTCCAGCAGCCATGTTAAATGCTTAAATCTGAGATAAGGGTATCCATTTTTCCTGCAAAACACTCAATTGAAAATTAAAAATCACTTTTGATAATCTTCTATGGGTAAACCACACTAAAAGAATTATATGTATGTTGATTTATGTCAATCCAGTGATGTAAAATACATGTACCACTAGATTGTCTTTTCCTTGGTTGATTTGTTTTGTTGGGTTGTCTGTCCTACACTATATATTTTGTATTTGAACACATTATTTTTTTTAATTTCATTTTTGTTGAAAATACAGAGGAAATCTTAAAATAGGAATTTCATAAACCATGGCATGTGACAAAATATAAATTTGATACAAACCCAACAGCTAATGTAAATTCTTCTAAATTTGAAAATTCAGTTGTCAACACAGGTGACTTCTCTCCCTTGAAACTTGCAATTCTGTTGTCACAGAAGTTCCAGCAAGTTACCTCCCCTTTGTCATCTCCAAATACAATTAGCATGTGATTGAAAGCTGACCATGTTAGTGCTGTGACCTTACCCTGAAAAAAGGTTTGTAATATATATATGTGTCTTTGGTTATACACTGTACATGTATCTGAATGTATTTTTTATTCTCCTTTAAGGAATTTGGTGTCAATGGCAGATATTATTGTCTTTTAAATTTCTACACAACATTGTATAGATACACAATGTACTTGTCTGTTTATTTAAGACTACACAAAGTACATGTATATTGTGTGTTGCTCTGTATGCATCTTTCTTCTTGTTTTTTTGTCTTCTGTGTTTAAATGTTGCATTCTCACTGATTTTTAACCACTTATCTTGTTATTCATTAGATATCATTAAAAAGTATTTCACGACATGTGCTGTCATGGCGCATAAATTCATGTAAATGGCAACATTTTTCCTTTTGAGACCATAGTTAAAATGAAAAATAAATAAAGTTATCAGCTAACAAAAATTCGATTTTTTGAAGGCCATTAGCTTTCATCCACATAATATATATATATATGTATTTCAGTCTGTGTCTTAGGGCAAAATATGACTTTTAAGTCATGAATGTTTATGCCATGACAACAATTTAATCCAGAAATCAAAAGTTCAATTAATTATCACTCCATTTTGGTGTATTACCGTATACTTCCCAATTAAAAATGGGTACAATATTGTCAATGCCCATTCATTAGGATTTACCCCCCACCCCCTCCTTCCACCCCCAAAACCTGTTTAACAACAGGGCAGGGAATAAGATTAACAGGGTCCCAGTAGCCAATGCTACTGGGAATTTGGCTGGGCCCTAACTTTTTAACAGAATATTCCCATATGGTAATACAAAATTTTCACATTTTGTCAGTTGGGCCCCTGGAGTCTTCTTCTTCCATATACTGCCCACATTCAACTTTCTGAATATACTGGCAAATTTGGTTCCGCATGGTTAAAAACAGGATAAAAGCAAATGTTCATCTTTAGTTTGTAAGGTTGGTCATTTGAGATTTGAATGTCTCAAATGACTGTGCTGTGGCAATCCCCGGGTGAAGCTTGTTCCAGTCTTTGGTGGTGTTCACAACAAAGGACCATTTCCTGCAGTCTTTGATTGCTGTTTGTACCATGTATCCATGCTGTTGTGTGTGTCTGGATATTCTAGTTGGTTTTTGGAGGTACATGTCTTTGTTGATGGCTAATTTGTCGTTGACGATCTTATACATCATTGCGAGCCTGGCCTCTCTGCGTCGTTCTTGGAGGCTTTTGCAACCAAATTCGTTAATCATGTCTGTGACACTTGATCTGTTTCTGTGGCACTTGGTGACGTATCGCGCAGCCCTCCTTTGAACTTTGGTCAATATGTTTTTGATGATATGGGTCCCATACTGTTGTGGCGTATTCTAGTTAGGGCCTTACTAGAGTTTTGTATGCTTGCTCTTTGATGCTTTTAGAGCTGATGTGTAGGTTTCGGTGGAGGAAACCAAGGCTTCTGCTGGAGTGAAATTTTAAAGCTTATTCCCTGCAGGGGCATGCAGCTTGAAGGGGACAAGATATTGTTGTTATTTGATTTGGTCAAGGGAAGACACTGGATTACAATATTTCCTTTTATTGAGAAAACTCACATGTGCTTCAGTTTCATAGAGTAACTCGTATGAGTTGACATCCCAGATAAACACTTTACCGTCCTCTGAACCACTGCAACACAGTATCTGGTTTGGATCTACCGTTGTAGATGGCAATGTGACGCACGTCACTTTTTCTCTGTGTCCACAATAAACCCCTTTATGGGCTATTGGGAATGTTGATGCGTCGTATATGAAAACGTCATGTCTAGCAGCAAAAACAAGCAGACCACTTTTATTGAAGCCCACTGTATGGCTTATGTACCAGTTTGGTGACGCTGGTAAAGTCAATAATGCCATGCTATGATAAGTTTGTTAAGATATCAACATTCAGTAAAATCTTATATTTTAGTACACTTCCCGCAAAATCGTCAAAAGCACGTTGAATTATTTTCTCAAGCTGCCATAAATTGGTCGCAGCCGATAGCGACAAAAACTTTTTTGCAAACTCTTGTTATTAGATATCACACTTGCTTAATATCCGCCCATTTGGTAACTGAGTGTATGAAACGTTACAGAATTATTTTATATTACATTTTACATTTTTATAGATAAAATTGCAAATAGCAACAATGATCAGATCTTCGGGACGCTTAAAACAGGCTATCTCTGAGTTACAAATTAAAGCATCTACATCACCAAGGTCAATGAGAAAATGAAAAATGAGCCTGAAAAGTAATGATCTCAACTTTAACTTAAAAACACAATTTACACTGAAAACTAAACACTATTGCTGCATTTTAACAAAAAGAAAATATTCTAGACTTGTGCTTTTTTTTCAAAATTGATTTAAACAGTTAATTGAACCTGTTTAAAAAAAGGACTACTGAAAAGTGAAAACCTAAAGAAGAAGAAATATTTATATGAGGGTGGTAAAGGGGGGGGGGGGGGGGGGGGGTGCTTGCACGGAAAAAACGTGAAATAAGACATAATTTCACGTTGAACGTGAAATAATTTCTGTCATGAATGTTGCACGAAAAATAAAGACTGTTGTGAACCTTTTGTGACTGAGTCACTGTCTTCTTGTATATATAAACTCTCTGTTTTACTTGTTATTCCCGATTTAGTATACACATTTATGATGTAAATGGTTTACGGCTTTTAAAAAAGTATTTCTTGATGATCCCTGCCAAGTATTTGAATTTTATTTGAAAAATACCGAGCACGCAAAATAAGCATTTGAAAATCACGTTGCACGTAAAATTAAATAAGCAGAACACGTTGAACAAGGCACCTGTCTTGCACGACTGAACGTTAAATAAAAAGGTAAAAACACGTTGAACGTGGAATAAAAAACGGCGATCACGTTGCACGAAAATAACCCTTTACCACCCTCTTATATGAGGCATGTGTTACAAGAGTCCAAATAATTTTGACGTCTTGAAAAGCTATGGAAGGAAGGTGTCACAGCAAAAAATTATATTGGTCTTTCAAAACGTCATAATTATTTGGACTAGTGTTACATTAGTCCAAATATTTATGACGTCTTGAAAGGCTATTTTATTTTTTTGCTTTGACGCCTTGAAGGCATCATAATTATTTAGACTAGTGTTACATGTGTTCCTAAGGTCAACATGGTCAAAATATTTCTGTACTATTTTGTTTCCTCTTATGGTACAACGCTGCTCTGTGTAATTTCTCGCTGTACTTTAGATTACTTGTTCAGGGGCAGAATCGGAATTCAAGGCTCACCAGTTCTTGAAATTGCCCTGTGTGGATAGTATTGCCAGCTGTGAAAGAGGACAAAGTCTTTAATATGAGGGAGGCACTCACTGTGAAATAGGATGAATATTAAAATAAGGAGGTGGTATGATTGCCAATAAGACAACTATCCACCAACAATGACCAAAGTTCAAATGAAGTGGATGTAAGCAATTATAGGCAACCATACAGCCTTCAACAATGAGAAAAACCCATACCATGTGGTCGGCTATAAAAGGCCCTGTCATGAAAAATATGAAACAATTCAAATGAGAAAACTAACAGACTAATTTATAAAACAAAACAGTTTAGGAAGAAAAAATATGACAGACATGAACGAACCACAACCACTGAACTACAGGCTCCTGACTTGAGACAGGCACATTAAAAATGTGGTGGGGTTAAACATGTTTGTGAGTGCTCAACCCTCCTCTAACCTGGGACAGTGGCGTAACAGTACAACATAAGAACAAACTATAAAAATCAGTTGAAAAAGGCTTAACTCATCAGATGGATACAAATAGAAATACATCTAACAAAAGGGGCCTCGGTGGCCGAGTGGTCTAAGTAGTTACTACTGTAATCACTAGCCAGTCAACACTGAGGTTGTGAGTTCGAACCTCGCTCATGTGGGTGCACTTGACTCCAATCTTAATTGACAAGGATTGTCAGTTTTCCTATCGAAGGTTGGTTGTTTTACTCCAGGCACTCAGGCTTCCTCCACCAACAAAAACTGGCCGCCACGAAATAGTCCAAAAGCGGTGCTTAAAAGTGGCAATAAAACACGAAAAATCAAATCATTGAACAAAAACACAAAGTGGACGTGGACGCATACTTGTACATCCCAAAAACAAAAAGACACTAAGTACAGATCTGTGAGTACTCACAGTTACTGACAGCTGGTTCAAAGCCAATAACAACTAATGAAAAAAATCATGTATCTAAGACTAAAATATCAATCAGTACACATCCAACATCAAATGAATTTAGTGTAAAGACGTCAGTAACAGTCAGAGAAAAACATGACCTTGTGCAATGCCAAACTATAAGTATCGACAGATTGTAGTACTGTGAAAGTACATATGTGTAATATTTAGTATGGTTTTAATTTACTGATAACAAAATCAATATTTAAACCAATAAAAACAATATTCAAAGATTTAATTACAGTGTTGAATAGGTAACCTTTTAGAATAAGGTTGTTTAACATGTTTAAAGGATTGATAAGTTTACCGGGATCATATCTAAATATCCTGGCTCGGTTTACAACATCACCGTAAAATTTAGAAATAAGTTTTCTACAGGTACAGCCAAACTTGCAGACCAAATCTTTGTATCGATGAAAGAATTTAGTAAAACTAAGGTTTTAAGTAATTTGTGGTAACGAAATCCCTGACTTAATAATTTACTTGTAATTATTACTATGTATTAAATACATAGATTACGCTCATTAAAATCCAAAACGTCACTACAGAAACGATCACACTCATTCAAATCCAAAATGTCACTACAGACAAGAGTATATCGAATGAATTGGGATATATAAACACCGTAAGACGGTGCCAAAGGAACATCACCGTCCAAAAAGGGAAAATTAACAATAGGGAAAGAAAAACCATCCCTTTTGTCGTAAATATTTGTGTAGAGGTTCTGGTGTAGTACTGAAATATCGGAATCTAGGAAAGGTCAGTTATTGCTGTTGATATTAGATTTATTTAAAGTAAGTTCCTTTGGGTAAATTTCAGCAGTATGATTAGAGAATTATTGATTATTTAACCAAAAAATATCAAGATAACGGTAAGTGTTGTTGAAAATTATCAATTAAATGACTGTTCTTTACTGAGTTTGGCCATAAACTGTGATTCATAACAGTAAAGGAACATCAGGATAATATGCTGAACGTTTTTGCAAAATAAAAAATACTGAAAAATGAACTACGGTCATCTTTTCTTTTTTTTTTCATTGTACAAATTTAAGGACAAAAAATATTAAAAAATAATAAATTACGATTTAAAAACCATCTGGATCTTTTGAGATACTCTTCATCATTGGCCTCACGACTGGGGCTTGACAATAAATACCTCTATACCAAATTGCAAAACAATTTATTCCCATCATAATTTCTGTTGAAAAAGTAACTGAAATACTGAAAAGTATCCGATGTTGGTCCTTTGGTTATGACATCATTTTGAAAATTTCAATGTACATATACTCAATATTTGTTTTCCCCTGCCGTGTTGCTGGGGTGTCTGTCCTTCTGTCTGTGCGTCCATCCGTCCTGTCTTGTTAGCTCTCTCACGTGCACAATTCTTGCCAGAATGAGATTTTTTTAAAACTTATGAATATCAGCACTGTATTGGACAAGTTCGAGAATCAGTGCCAATCATTTTATTTTTAAAAGAGTTATGCCCCTTGGAAACATTAATTATATGGAAAATTGCATCGTTAGGGCTATCATGTGTTCAATTCTTCCCAGATTTTTATGAAACTTATATCATAGGTTTATAACAACAATGTCTTTGACGAGTTAAAAAATCAGTGCCTATCAATTATTTTTTAAAAGAGTTACGTCCCTTGGAAACATTAAATTTATGTAGAATTGCATTGTTAGTGCTCTCATGTGTACATTTCTTGCAAGAATTTTACGAAACTTAAATCATAGATGTCTTTGATGAGTTCAATAATTTCTGAAGGAGTTATGCCCCTTTGAAATATTAATTATATGGAAAATTGCATTGTGAGTGCTCTGTGTACAATTCTTGCCAGATTTTTAAGAAATTCATATCAAGGATTTGTATACAAATCCTTGTTCATATTAAACATGTAGGTTTATATCATCAATGTCTTTGACGAGTTAAAAAATCAGTGCCGATCAATTATTTTTAAAAGAGTTAGGCCCCTTGGAAATGTTGATTATAATATATGGAAAATTGCATTGTCAGCATTCTCATGTGTACAATTACTGCCAGGATTTTATGAAACTTATATCATAGGTTTTTATCCGCAACGTCTTTGACACTTTCAGAAATAAGTGCTTTTCAAATATTTTTAACAAGTTATGCCCCTTGGAAATATTAATTGTATTGGAAATCACATTGCATTTGCTCTGAAGCCTTCGTTTCTCTAAGATATTGATAAAAAGTTTTAAAGAACAAAAACAAAGTGTTTTTTTTAGTTTTTGCCCTTGTACCTTGGACAGATGAAATATGTGCAACACGGGGGACATTGGACAATGTTGGAACTCTGTTCTTTTATTTCATATTAAAGTACATTTTTCACATGTATTGTTAATTTGTTATTTTTATGCTTATCATGAATATATACATGTACATGTACATAAACTATTTGAATTTTTTGTCTTTAATTTTAATGACTGCTATTTGATTTTATAACCTTTGTATATTTTAAGATGTTATCGAAATGTATATTTTATTAAATCCTGTATACTAACCTTTTATTTTACAGATTTGTGTAGGCTTTTAAGGCATGGGTCGTTACAAACAAGGTAAGTAAATATACATGGTCAGGACTACCCTAGTTCCCAAAACTGATCATTATATGTCCGAGCAATCTCTGGCTGCTGTCTACTGGACTACTGCTCTTTGTATCCACAACTCTCCCTAATCCAATAAGGACTTTTGAAAGAAACTTTCATGAAAAGAGAGCCAAAGGATTCCAAAGGGACATTC